GCAGGTGAGGATCCACACAAGCATCTCAAGGAGTTCCACATAGTTGTTCCACCATGAGGCCACATAATGTCCCTGAAGATCACATCTACCTTAAGGCATTCCCTTTTTCATTGGAGGATCTTGCCAAGGACTGGTTGTACTATCTGGCTCCTGGTTCAATAACAAGCTGGGACGAATTGAAGAGAGTGTTCCTCGAAAAATTCTTCCCTGCATCCAAGACCACTACAATCCGGAAGGACATATCTGGAATTAGGCAACTCACGGGGGAGAGCTTATATGAGTACTGGGAGTGATTCAAGAGGCTGTGTGCTAGCTGCCCTCACCATCAAATTTCTGAGCAGTTATTATTGCAATATTTCTATGAGGGGTTGAACATAATGGATAGAAGCATGATTGATGCAGCTAGTGGAGGAGCTTTATGAGATATGACACCTGCTTCTGCTAGAGGGCTGATTGAAAAACTGGCGTCCAACTCACAACAATTCAATATGAGGAGTGATGTCATAGTTGTGAGGGGTGTGCATGATGTGGTAGCCTCAGATTCCACTGAACACAAAAAGCTGGAGAGTAAGATTGATGCTCTCACCACCTTGGTTTCACAACTGGCTTCAAATCAAAAATCAGCTCCACCACCAGCAAAAGTATGTGGCATCTGCACTTCAATTAATCATCCAACAGATGCTTGTCCCTCTTTGCAAGACTCTTCTACAGGTCCTGATGCTCCACAAGCATATGCTGCCAACATCTACAACAATAGACCTCCACAAAAGCAACAGAATTATGATCTGTCTTCCAATAGATACAATCCTGGTTGGAGGAATCATCCTAACCTGAGGTGGGGAAACCCTCAACAGCAGCAAAATCCACCACCTTTCCAGAATAATCCCTCAAGTTCTACATATCAGCCTCCTCAACAAAGACCTCCTCCTGCACCTGCAGCCCAACTAGCTCAACCTTCTACTTCTTCTGAGCCTTCATTGGAGGAGCTGGTGAGGCAGATGACCATCCAAAACATGCAGTTCCAGCAAGAGACCAGAGCTTCCATTCGGAGTTTGACAAATCAAATGGGTCAGATGGCTACTCAGTTGAATCAGGCACAGTCTCAAAATTCAAACAAGTTGCCTTCACAGACTGTGCAGAATCTGAAAAATGTGAGTGCCATCACCTTGAGGTCAGGCAAACAGATTGACATACCCACTGCAGTACCTCCACCTCCATCTGCACATGTGCCAGTTCCATCATCTGCACCTGAGCAAATTCATGAACCAGTTGGTGCCCAAAATTTTCATGCAGGTGGACCTTCTTCCAGCACCAATTCTTCTGATTTTCAGGAGCCTCCTATCCCTCTTCCATGATTGACATACCCACTGCAGTACCTCCACCTCCATCTGCACATGTGCCAGTTCCATCATCTGCACCTGAGCAAATTCATGAACCAGTTGGTGCCCAAAATTTTCATGCAGGTGGACCTTCTTCCAGCACCAATTCTTCTGATTTTCAGGAGCCTCCTATCCCTCTTCCATTTCCACCAAAATCAATTCCAAACAAAAAGTTGGAAGAGGTGGATAAGGAGATATTGGAGACC